CAACAGAACAATAATGGGTATCTCCAACTTGCCTCCTACATGCTATTTCCTCATCTCTTCCTCTCTTAAAAGATCCCAACAAACAAAACCAAAAGAAAGGCACAGGGAGAATGCTGGAAAATAAATTTGCCTCTGCCCTGCCATCTGGGCTGTGAGTGTTTTTGGTTGCCATTTGTTTATGTGAGTCTTGAAGCTTATCCTTGTTTTACTGCATTGAAGCAGAGCTGCAGTACACCACCTCTCATTGCTCCTCTGCTAAAAATCTTCTCCAGCTTTCAATTCCCCTTTAGCATTCTTACTTGGCACCTAGCTCTGATTTTATGCTTTTTTTCTTTTTAGTGAGTCTCAGACCATTAATTCTCTACAACTCACAGACATCCAAGATCATCATTTCACACTGTAAAGATGGTCTTGTGTCATTTAGTTAACTTTGCCTACAGACTGTTAGATGCTCCCCCACGAGTCAATTCAATTTAACATCATCCCACAGTAATGGGTCACAGGAATATGGATCAGATGCTTTCTCACTGCTGGACCTCATCTGGATGGAGAAATGGGCTGACAGGAACCTCATGAAGCTCAACAAGGAGAAGAGCAAAGTCCTGAACCTGCAGAGGAACAAGAAAATGGAGCCAGGCTCTTTTCAGTGCCAGGTCCAGAGGCAATGGGAACAAAATTAAAGGCAGAAGGTTCCCTTTGAACATCAGGAAACACCTTTTTCTTGTGAGCGCCGGCACAGATTGGTCAGGGAGGCTGCGGAATCTCCATTTTTGGAAGTACTAAAAAAAGTCTAGACGTGGTCTGGGACAATTGGTTCTGGTGGACTTGCCTGAGCATGGGGGTTGAACCAGGCACCCTCCAGAGGTTCCTTCCATCCTAAACCATTCTGTGACTATGTCTAAAAGCAGTAATAGGTTATTTCCCTTATAGAATCTGTCAACCAGCCTAAGAAACAGCAGTGAAGTCAGGTTATCTTGTCACATTTTTGGAAACTGTAGGAGGAAGAATGGGATCTATACATTGGCTCATGTTTTAGTGATTGGAAGTCAGCATCACATGCAGTTGGGATAAGGAGAAACAGGATTGCCAGGTTTTATTGCTAGATCCCATGCTGCTTTTATGGGTAGAATAGTTTAATCCCTCTGTATTTTACTTAATCCATGTGAATAATGAGAACACATTGTACTCCCTTACATAATTACCACTGGATAAGGTATGTCATTTAATGACCTTAACATGTTTTGAGATCGTTATGTGAAAGACACCACACACAGGGTAACATCAGTAATTGAAATGGATATACCAGCAAGAGAAAGGCTCATGTCCTAATCTAGGAATGCATCCTAAACCATGAACACAGGGTGTGAAAGGAATTTGGATATACCCACAAGAAGATAAAGACACACATGAGGCTGAATGTTGGCAACCAAAATGATAACTCACTTTTGTTTAAGACCAAGGAAGACAAGAAGGAGGAAAGATAGAAAAGTAGGAAAAAGCAAAGAATTAGAGAAAGCAAGAAAGGATCCCATGGCCCCTTATCACACCAGGTCCTCACCTGCACATTGTATCCACAGCGCCTGGGCTCTGGTGGTTTGTGCTGTCAGCAGCTCAGGTGTGAGAAGCTCCCATATGCTCCTTTTGTTTTCTAAGTGCCACAGTTCGCTCTGACAGACCCAAGCAGTAGTAAAATGGGTTGTTTTATAGCGGTTCCACAATTAAAGACCAAATTAACATGTGGCTTAATATGTGAAATTGCTTTACATAAACATTACTAGTTAAATATAGCCCATAGAAATGCGTGTGCTGCATATATGAATATTAACAAATGCAGAGCCTATTTAAAAAAGTCACAGGCAGCCTCCAAACCTCAAAACAAAAATCTGAGTCAAAGCATAATTGTGTGTAAGCTCAAAACTCTGTCATTAGTGTTAGCTGTCTTCATTAAAGCAGTCTTCCTCCTTCAGTCACTTTAAGCCATATATCCTTCCTTCTCTGACCAGATATCAATACTAGTTTGAAATAAATATTTGGGTATTAAATCATTACAGCTCTTTTGGTGTTTGAATCACAATGTTTAGCCAGCAAGGCACTTAAGTTTAAAAGCACTCAGCCAAGGACAAATTCTAGCTGTGGAAATGGAAAATAACTGGTCATGTTTGAAGAGAATGGCAACACTACAGCAAGAGGCCTCCAGTGTTTGACGACTTGAAGAGAAACAGGCACTTTGGTGGGGGAGAGGGGGCATTTGCCACAAAAAGGACAAACCTAAGAACCCGCATGAAGTGCAGGAGGAAGTACCTGGAAGGGGATTTTTGAAGCTCCGTCTGAAATACTCCAGCTAAAACTTCTAGAAATGTTCCATCGTAAAGTCAATTTCAATCACAGGTGTAAATGACTGACATTGTGTACTAAATTGCTATCAGTGTAATCTTTACTTTTTGATATTTTCTCCTGTAAGAACTTGGTTGCTGTTCTTTAAGAGAAACAATTTGATGTGATTTGGAAGACTAAGCCTCAAAGCAGGTAGTGTGCAGCTAGGTGTATTTCAGAGTGGAGCTATTTTCAACTGGACAGTAGAAATGAGAGATACGCAAGTCTGGAAGAGAAATTTGGTATCTTAATATGCTTCTCTCTTTCAGAATAACTGTCCTAATATTGCTCTTGAAGTAAGATTTTGGTTTGCAGTTTTGAAAAAACCAAAAGGTAATAACTGAGTTTTTGATACTCTGTCACACCCCTTCAAATATTTATCCCTAACCTAAGGATTTCTGTTGGAATAGAAAACCCAAAAGTATTCCATTTTCTTAACTCTTGGCAAAACTATTTGCTACACAACCGGAAATGGAGTTTGATCAAGTGGCTCCACACACAGAGAAGGCATCAGTTAGACAGCAACTGAACCATAATGAGTCTCTTTTACTCTTTTCTCTAGTTCTACAGTCTCTTGGTAATCCTCTTCAAAACATTACGCAGCAGTTAAGATAGCAATGCTTTTATCTATCCCCCTATGAACTAAAAGGAGGAAACAGCCCTGCAGCCAAAGCAGAGGAGACAAGAAGTGAGGTTAGCATTTAATATTGAGGTGAACACTTCAAAAATTCCTAACTCTTTGACCTCATTATGTTTTTACACAGTTTCTGTAATAACAGTCTCCAAGAGCAGCAATGACATGTGCCAGTCTGGAACTACAGAAAAATAATGAAATAGAAGGCTTTCAGTCTAAGTAGGCTACATCTAGATAGTTGCAGTGTTATTAAATACTACAAACTTTTTCAAAGTCCATGTGTAGAAGTTTACTGACTAGGCACAAATGCACTTTCTTCCACTTTCAGCTCATTCTTTTACGAAGCAATGAATATTTAAGTACCTTTAGTTAGTTATTTTATTTTTTTCACGAAGCTGAAATGAAATCTTGATTCAAGCTGCAACAATTCCTACATGTTATAAGAAATTTTCTAAGCCATCTAAGATCTGTTAGCCATGAGGTAAGCCAATCCCACCAAGAAGTACTTCTAGTGTTCCCCTATTCCAGCACTGCTTTTTCAATTTATGATATTCCTGGCTCTTGAGCATCTATGCAAATTTCCCCTTTTGGGAAGGAGAGAGGTTTTCTCTCTCTGCTTCCATACATTACTTTAAATTACTTTAAATTGATGTCTGACACTGAATTGATCCTAAACAAATTCTAATAATGATTGTGAAAATTATATTACAGATTAAGGCCTCAAGTAGTGTAGGCAGCCCTTCAGTGACTAATTCCCAATTTCCTACAGAATTTGTTTAGTTGATTAGTCTCTGTAGCCTGTTATAATTCCTCGGGGAATTGTCTGGCTCACTGACTCAGTGATAGGTATACAGGTGGTGATGTTACTCAAATTGCACATTTTGCCGAGCTCTTGAACTAAATCTGGTGCAACATTCCTGGTTTTCTCCAGAGGAAGCTACATCCCTTTGAGCTACTATTCTACAAAGTACAGAAATATGATCTTTATTAACCTTTTCGTTTCAGACAAACACTACCATAAACTCTATAACCATCAAAAAAATTCACTTGATCCCAAGTACAATTTATAAAGTGTTTTGTTTCAATCTTATCTGTAAAGGATTTGCTGTCTGCTGAACAGTCCAGTAAAGTGTTTCCTGGTTTGGGGCTAGCTTTGTCCAGGTGTAGTGAATCCAGGAGTCTCAGCCAACAGTTTTCACAGCCATGTGGGTAGTCAGGAGAACTTGGAATGGTCCTTTCCACTTTTCCTTAAGTGGTTCATCTTTCCACATGTGGACGTATACCTAATCCCTGGGTTGATGAGGATGTACCTGAATGTCCAAGGTTGTTGAGGATGCTAAACAACAAATCTATGCAAAACTGAGAGCTCTTTTCACAAAGATAATACATACTCTTTAAAATTACTAATTCCCATCACATGGCTTTCTCCTGCGATAGTTTGATACAGCCTGCCTTAAATAATATCATAAGGACATTCATAAGATCTTTCTTTAGATCCAGGCTGTATTCTAATTCTTAATAAAGCTAAAGGAAAAGCCTGAGGCCATCTTAGTGAAGTTTCTTTACAAATCTTACTTATTTGCCATTTCAGATTTCAGTTCATCCTTTCTACTATTCCACGGGAATGAGGTCTCTAAAGAGTGTGGATATTCCATGTAATTCCCAAGCACTTTGCATAAACTTTGAACTGTTTCAACCACAGAATGAAATCCTCTGTCTGAAGACAGGCCCAATGGTACCCCAAATCTGGGTATAATTTCCTTTAAAAAAACTTCTGTTACTTCTTGAGTTTTGTTGGTGTGACAGACAAAGGCTTCTGGCCATCCAGAAAGGCTGTCTACCAAGAACAGTATCAATAACCATCTTCCCAGGCTAGTTCTAAAATATAAGTCTTGGTTTAAGACAGTCTAAAGAAGTGGACACTCTAAAATGAGTTACCTCCCCTTAGTTCCATCCAGTCCCTTTCCACCAATAAGGAACAAATACAAGTAGATGTTAGTGAATAGATAACAATTTATTGCTAAGTGAAACAGCAACAGGCAAAAAATAACAGTAAATAATCACTAGATAGTGATCACTAGATAAAATTGCTAAATATCACAAATCTCATGGGAACAAAGAGACACCTGAAGTGGTGGAAATGCCTGCAGGGTGACCCAGCCTCAGGGATTGGCTCACTTTGCAAATGTCACTCCAAAACAGTTTTTGATAGTGTGCAGAAAATCACGGTGCCAAAGACTGGTGTCCACTGAGGAGTCCTGCAAAAATCAACTTTATTTGCATAAAGGGAGAGTCTAGTGGGCCAGACCCCTGTGGGGTCTCTCAAGTTTTTGGAGGATCCAGCCTCCTTTTATCCTAAACTCCCTACTGCATGTTGCCCTCCTCCCTTCCCCATTGGCTGAAATAGCAGGAATGTAGAAACTTCCCAAACCACTTACTTACTACATGTCTTCCTTCCAACATGTACCCCCACACCCATTCTTCTAGAATATGATTGGGGCTTTCAGGTTATCTAGTTACATGGTCTGATCTCTCCTACACCCTCTCTAGGAAAACCTGAAAATTTTTAACTTTTCACACATGACTGTAGAACTAGGCTTGTTAGTTATGAACAGGGAAGGCTCTGAGTAGCTTACTGAGGTTAGAGATTTGCTGGATTGCCTCAAAGATTTCCATAGTCTTGGCTTGTTGCTGGATTGTGGCTTCCAGCTTTGCCATTTGAATTTGGAGCCTGAAAAAGAAGTATAGGCCTTATGACAGAAGTCCACAAGAAAACAAATCACAAAGGAACCCCATGAAAGAACCTCATCTGAAACAAAAGCATCTTTGAAAATCATGTATTAGTATCTCACTGGGATGCAAGATGACAATCCTGTTTTTTTCACAGAATCACACAAAGTGAAGCCTTGCTCTACTGTCTTACCGTTGAATGCGTTCTTCCAGCTGGGGGATAGCTGCAGCTGATGAATCAAAAGACTCAACCAGGCGGCCTTGCATGTTTCTCAAAATTGTTATTACCTTCTTCTCCTTTAGGGCATTCTTCCCTGACTCAGCATAATAATCATTCTTGTTAAGAAGTTCTTTTAGGTCCTTAAGCTGTCAAACCACAAGAACAATCCCCAGTAGAAAGCTTTTATATACTTAAAAAAGTAGAGTGCTTTGATGTTAACTTTCAAAACCTGTGTTACTTCTTCATCTTTAATAGTGGGCCCTCTCCTACACTGATTTCCTAGAGTGTTTCCTAAAGACTGGCACAACACTTCTCCTCTCCTCTCTCAAGTACTCTGAACACACTTTGTAGCCTGTTCTGATGTCACAGTTTAGGAATGGTATTCCCCAAATTCATGCTCCCACTGAGACTCTCCAAACCACACTGCTGCTCCCTTACTCCCTCCTTCCCTTCTCTCTCACCCGTGCAACAGGAAGGAGAACTGGGGACACAAAGTGTAAAGGTAATGGGTTCAGTTCAGAACAATTTACTGGAAACAGCAATGAGATATGAAAACAGTAACAGCAACAATATTCATAAAGAAAAATGTTCAAGAGAGCAGTAAGAGATTCATATGCAAAATGCTCAGAACTGGTGTTACCCAACCACTCCCTGTGCCACACTTATTCCACCACTAGGGAGTAGATTCCCTTTCCTTTCCCCTTCCCCATGCACAGCACCTGCTCCTGCCCCCTGCCTGCCTCCTCCACCCTCTGTCCTCCAGTTGTCCTCCAGAACAATCTCAGGGCCCCAGACATGCCCCATCCTGGCTACCACAAAAATCAACCCTGTCCTGGCCTGAACCAGGACAGTTGACTATTCAGCACAATTAGAAACTCCTCCTATTCCTAAAGTGACTTTACAACTCCGTAAAAACGGTGATGGGGGGAAGAAATACTACAAAACATCAGCACAAAACTCCAACAGGCCTACTCTTTCTTTGTCAACACAGTCCACTTTGCCAAACCAGAGAGAAGAAGCAAATACTGTGTGCTCCATGAAGCTTGGAAAGCAGCTTTTTGAAAGGAATACACAGGGCCTTCTCCAATTAAGAACAAAGTGACATCACAACTAGTGATTTTTTTAATTGTAGTCCTGACTTATCAGTCACATCAGTTATGTGTCATTCAACTTACTCCTGTGACAAAGTTGTGTAGTGTACTAAGAACAGCTTAGTGGTGTCAACAGGGAAACATCAAAGGCAACAGTGCTGTTTCTTTCCCTGAACCGCCCCACGTTACACAAAAGTCTTAAGGAATGAAGTTCCCTGCTGTTTACTACAAAGAAGGCTTGGGTCAGAAGACCTGACAAGAAACAGGTATTTTCCATACCCTAGTTTTACACTTCTCCAGTTTCTCCAACAGCAGCTTCTGTTCCCTCCTGCTGTTGGTCTTCACAGTTCCAAGTGGAGCTCCTTCCAGGGAGTTCTTTTTGAGAATTTTGTCAAGCTTCTGCCCGGCCAATGGCTAAGGAAATGGTTTTTCATGAGCATGGCAAAATCAGTGTAAACATGACAACAAAAGCAATGCTTTTACTGATGAAATTACATCATTAGATCGGTCTACAGGTTGAGGGAGAAGTTGGCCAGCAGGGAAGAGATTCTCCCTTTCTACTCTGCTCTTGTGAGACTCCACCTAAAGTAGTGTATCTCCCCCTGCAGCCCCCAGCACAAGGCAGACATGGACCTGATGAAAAGAGGCCAGAGGAGGGCCACAAAGACATTCATAGGGCTGGAACGCCTCTCTCATGGAAAAAAGGCTGAGGAACTTGGGATTGTTCAGTTTGAGAAAAAGCAGGCTCTGGGCAGATTTTATTGCAGCCTTTTAACATAAAAAGAAGGAGAGATCATTTTATCAAGAATTGTAGTGACAAGCCAAGGGCAACAGTTTAAAATGAAAAGACAGTAGATTTAGATCTGATATAAGGAGGAAAATTTTCCATGTATTGTGATGGAGCACTGGACCAGATTGTCCAGAGTTGTGCTCATCCCTGGAGGTGTTCAAAATGAAGCTGAATGGGAATTTTTGCAGCCCTTCTGCTTCAAATAAATATGAAATTAAGTTCAAAATACAACTCAGGTCCAGATCAATTACCTTCTTTCAGCACTATTTCAAAATGAACTCACTAGCAAGAACACACATGCTTACACTGATAAGTTTTATCTAGAGATATCTGCATCTGTCTCTAAGAGTCACCTGTTTGTCCTGCTCAGAATCTGTTTGAGTTGAAGAATCAACCTGTAGCTGAAGATCTTCTCCCTGAAATGTAGGAAGCTAAGCAAGCAAGAAAAAAGAGAAATCCTCAGCAGGACTGTAGCATCCTACTGCCTTCAAGAAGAGAGCATGAAGAAATGTGACTTCTGCCAAAAGTAGTGTAAGAGCTCAGAAAGAGAGCTAAGTACCTTATTCTCAGAAGAGGAGATAAGATGTTCCTTCTGTTCTGCTCTTGCAGCTGGTAATAGAGAGAAAAAATAAGATAAGAGTGTTGCTGCTGTGAGTGCTTCTTTCGCTTTGCTTTTCCAAAACTGATTCACTCCAGAGAGGCCTACAAAGGTAAACATGTAGTCCCTCTGAAATTACCTTTGCTGAGCTCAACTGCAGCAGAGCTCACACCCACTCTGTTTTGGTCTGCAGCAGGAAGCTGCACATCAGCCAACACTTTCTTTCGACCTTCAGAATCAGTCTGCATAATTTAAGACACATGTGAGAACTGGCACAGGCTGCTTCCACACCACCTTCCACCCTTAAAGCTTCTGCTTCAGCCAAGAGGCCTATCAAGAGAGGGATCAGGTAATGGAAAGAACAAAAAGGGCAAACACGGTCAGCGTGTTTGGCATCTCTCTTGAGTAGATCTTTCAAAACAGGATGAAGTCCACCTGCCCAAATTCGAGAGAAGGCAGAAGAAATAGGTCTCTAAACTATGGGTCATCTGCAACCATTTGACATTGACTGGATCCACAAAAGAGATTTCTGAGGTGGGAAAAAGCAATTCTCACAATGCCAGCCTTCTAGGGCTTCAGGGGACTGTAACCAGATGGAAGTGTTATTTCTTTGTCCTAGAAATCCCATACGGATGTCAGCTGCAAGGAGGTCCAGGACTTTGTCCCAGTCCCATCTGAACAGCTTGTCTGAAGCAGCAGCATGTCAGGGTCCAAGTTACAAACGTTTGGCCTAAGCAGCAGCAAAGGAAAATGAACCTAGAAGCAGGTGAGCCAGTGAGACTCCCACTGCCTCCTTCAGAGAAGGTACCTCAGAATCCCAGGGAAAATCATTATCTTCCTGTTTTGCCTCTCCCCCTGCTGGCTGCAAGACTCTGTCTTCATTTTTCACTTCTCTCCATGCTTGTTTCCAGACCCCTAAGAAAAGGTAAGCATGTAACAGCTATGAGTGTTTATTTTACTCCGCTTTTCTGCACCGGATTCACTCCAGAGAGGCTTACAAAGGTAATCACTTAGTTCCTCTGAAATCACCTTTGCCGCGTTCCACTGCAGCAGAGCATGCATCCAACCTGCTGCTGTTTGCAGCAGGAAGCTGGACAGTGGCCAACACTACCCCTTCACCTTCAGAATCAGTCTGTGTAATTTAAAAGACATACGTGAGAACTGGCACAGGCTGCTTCTCCACCCATTTCCACATTCAAAGGCTGTGCTTCAGCCAAGAGGCTTAACAAGAGGGATTAGGTGATGGAAAGAACAAAAAGGGCAAACACAGCAAGCACATTCAGCATCTCTGTTGAGCAGGGTTTTCAAAATGGGACCAAGTACACCTGCCCATGCCACAGAGAATGTAGGCAAAAGAAATAAATCTGTAGACTGTAGGTCATATGGGAACCCAGTTGACATTAACTGCATATACAGAAGAGAGGTGTTTGATGGAAAAATGAATCCTCACAATTCCAACCCTGCACAGTTTTCACAGGACTGTAACAAACACAGAGGTTTACTACATAATCCTTACTGCAAATCTAGCTTGGACATCAGCCACAAGGAGGCCAAGGATATTAGCTTGACCTCACTTTGTCCTAATCCCATCTGAACAGCGTGTCTGCAGCAGCAGAATGTCAAGGTCTAAGGTATGAGTGTGTGGCAGAAGCAGCATCAAAGGAAAATGAGCCCAGAAGCCAGCGAGTGAGAGGGACCTCACTGTCTCCTTCAGAAAAGGTACCTCAGAATCCCAAGAAGAATCATCATCTCCTGCTCTTCCTGCTGGTTGCAAGACCCCTAAAAACAGGTAAGAGGCTTGTCATAGCTCTGAGTGCTTGTGTCACTCTCCTTTTCCAAATCTGATTCACTTCACTGAGGCTTACAAAGGTAACCATGTAGTCTTTTTGGAATTACCTTTGCTGCACTCCGTGGCACCAGGGCGCACACCCATTCCTTTGTGGTCTGCAGCAGGACGCCACTTGCTGGCAAACACTTCTTCTACAATTTTAGAAAAAGGCTGTGTAATTTAAAAGACACACATAAGAACTGGCACAGGTGGCTTCTGCACCCACTTCCATGTTCAAAGCTTCTGCTTCAGCCAAGGTGCCTAAGGAGACGGATAAGGTGATGAAAAGAACAAAAAGGGCAAGCAAAACCAATTCATTCATCACTGTTGTTAAGCAGCAATTTTAAAATGAGACAAAGTCCACCTGCCCAAGCTTGAGAGAACCTAGGCAGAAGAAATAAATCCTTAAATTGTCAGTCATACACAACCATTTGACATTGAAAATTCACAAAAAAGATCTGTAAAGAGGAAAAAAGTAATTCTCACTATTCCAGCCTTCTAGGATTTCAGAGGACTGTAACCAAAAGGAAGTGTTACTTCTTTGTCCTAGAAATCCAGCTTGGGGATCAGCCACAAGCCACATGACATTAGTTGGACCTCACTTTGTCCCAGTATTAACTGAAGAGATTATCTGAAGCAGTAGCACGTCAAAGTCCAAGTAAGGAGGCTGTGGCAGAAGTACCATCAAAGTAGAACGAGCCCAGAAGTAGGTGAGCCAGAGGGACCCCACTGCCTCCCTCAAAGAAGGTACCTCAGATCCCCAGGAGGAATCACTGTCTTCCTTTTTCACTTCTGCTGCTGCTGCTGGCAAGACACCTAAGAAAGACAAGAAGTGTGTCATTTCTGTGACTGCTTATTTCACTCTGCTTTTCTCCACCTGCTTTCACTCCAGAGAGGCTTACAAAGGGAACCACTTAGTCCCTCTGAAATTACCTTTGCTGCACTCCACTGCAGCAGGGCGTGCATCCAACCTGTTGCTGTTTGCAGCAGGAAGCCCCACACTGGCCTGCATTTTCTCTGGACCTTTAGGATCAGTCTGAGTAATTTAAAAGACACACATGAGAACTGGCACAGGCTGCTTCCACACTCACTTCCCTGCTCTAAAGTTCTTTTGCCAATAGGCCTAAGGAGAGGGATCAGGGGATGAAAGAACCAAAGGAGCCAACACAGTGAGCACATTCAGCATCCTGTTGAGCAGGGTTTTCAAAATACGATTAAGAACACCTCCCTGAGCTAGAGAGAACCTAGGCAGAAGAAATTATTATCTGAAGTGTAGGTCATATGGGAACTGTTTGACATTGACCACACCTAGAGAAGTGAGAGGAACCAATCTGATTTTTATTAATGCCTGAGCATATGTTATACATGAGGTGAAAAACAACTTTAGGGGTTGTACACTTGCTGGGAGCCCTGTCTCTGGTGAGCCTTCACCTGGCAGCTGACCAGGAGAAAGAAAACTTTTGTGACTGAGCTGCAAGAGATCCCCTCCCCCCACACTAGCCAGTGGGGCAGATCCCTGGATGCCCAGGAAAAATGCCTGGGAAATTTGGCCATGGGATGAGCCTAAGCACACAACAGTAGTGAACTTCGGTAGGAGCACTTATCTTCATCAATAAACAGTTCTCAGATATAATATTGTTGCACTTGTGTTTAATTTTCGTTTGAGAAATCTATCGAAAAGAATCCTCTCCAACTCTCCTTTTACAACAGGATGGGACAGGGAGTAATCTGAGTGATGGAGAAACAGAAATCCTCAAAATGCCAGCCTTTCACTGGTTTCAGAGGAGCTTTACTGCTCTGTGCTATTCTAGAAATCTGACTTGGACATCAGCCACAAGGAGCTCAGGACATTAGCTGGATCTCACTTTGTCCCAGTCCTAACTGAACAGATTATCTGAAGCAGTGGCTGGTTAAGGTCCAAGTGTAGCAGAGGCAGCAGCAAAGGAAAATGAGTCCAGAAGCCAGTGAGTCAGAGGGACCTCAGTGTCCCTCAGGAAAGGTACCTCAGAATCCCAGGGAGAATCGGTGTCTTCCTTTTTCACTGATCCTCCTGCTGGTTGCAAGACCCCTAAGAACACATAAGATGCTCATCATGGATCTTAGACTGCTTGTTTCACTCTCCTTTTCCAAGTCTTTTTTACTCCAGAGAAACTTACTAACATAAGCATTTAGTGCCTCTGAAATTACCTTTGCCACGCTCCTCAGCAGCAGAGCGCACACCCACTCTACGGCATTTTCCAGCAGGCTGCAGCACGGGGTTAATCACTTTCTCTCTAAGATCACTGAGATGCTGTGTAATTTAAAAGACACACATGAGAACTGGAACAGGCTCCTTGTGTACACACTTGCACACACAAAGCTTCCGCTTCAGCCAAGAGGCCTAACAAGAGAGGGATCAGGTAATGGAAAGAACAAAAGGAGCAAACACAGCCAATGCATTCGGCATCTCTCTTGAACAGATTTTTAAAACAGGATAAAGTCCACCTGCTGAAGCTCAAGAGAACTTAGGCAGAAGATATAAAGATCTAAAGTGTGGATCATACACAACAATTTGACACTGATGATTCACAGAAGAGATTTGTGAGGAGGAAAAGATCAGTTCTCACAGTATCAGACTTCTAGGACATCAGAGGACTGTAACCAGAAGGAAGTGTTACTTCTTTGTCTTAGAAATCCAGCTTGGAGGTCTCCCCCAAGGAGACACACGACCTTAGTTGGTGAGCAGAGCTCTCAAAACAGGACAAAGTCTGCCTGCCCAAGCTAGCAACAACCTAGGCAGAAGAAATAAATCTCTAAACTCAACAGGAATTATTTGACATTGACTGCATTCAGGGAAGAGAGCTGTGTGATGGAAAAACAACAGTCCTCATAATGTCACCTTTCACAGATTTCAGACTACTGTAACCAACAGGAAGCATTACCACTCTAGTAGAAGTCCTGCCTGGATGCCAGCCTCAAGGAGGCCCAGGACATCAGCTGGACCTCCTTTTGTCCCAGCCCTCACTGAAAAGATTATCTGAAGAAGCTGGTTGTCAACATCCAAGTTACAAGTGTGTGGTAGAAAAAGAATCAAAGAAAAATGAGCAGAAAATCCAGTGAGCCAGAGGGGCCTCCATGCCTCCCTCAGAGAAGGTACCTTAGGATTGCAGAGGGAGTCACTGTCTTTCTCTTTTGCTGCTCCTGCTGCTTGCGAGGCCCCTAACAAAAGACAAGAAGTGTGTCATTTCTATGAGTGCTTATTTCACTCTGCTGTTCTTCACCTGTTTCACTCCAGAGAGGCTTATAAAGGTAACCATTCAGTCCCTCTGAAATTACCTTTGATACTCTCCTTGGCAACAGAGGGCTCTGGAAACATTCTACCAGCAGGAAGCAGCACAGTGGTTGCTAATTCATCTAGAACTTCAGTACTAGGCTGTGTAATTTAAAAGACACATGTGAGAACTGGCACAGGCTGCTTCCACACTCGCTTCCCTGCTCAAAAGTTCTTCTGCCAACAGACCTAAGGAGAGATCAGGGGACAAAAGAACAAAAAGGGCAAACACAGCAAGCATCTCATGTTTTTGGCATCTCTCTTGAGCAGATATTTCAAAACAGGACGAATTCCACCTGCCCAAGCTTGAGAGAACCTAGGCAGAAGAAATATGTGTATGTGGGTCATACACAACCATTTAACATTGGCTGGATCCACAAAAAAGATCTGTGAGGTGGAAAAGAGCAATTCTCACTATTCCAGCCTTCTAGGATTTCAGAGGACTGTAACCAAAAGGAAGTGTTACTTCTTTGTCCTAGAAATCCAGCTTGGGGATCAGCCACAAGCCACATGACATTAGTTGGACCTCACTTTGTCCCAGTATTAACTGAAGAGATTATCTGAAGCAGTAGCACGTCAAAGTCCAAGTAAGGAGGCTGTGGCAGAAGAAGCATCAAAGTAGAACGAACCCAGAAGTAGATGAGCCAGAGGGACCCCACTGCCTCCCTCAAAGAAGGTACCTCAGATCCCCAGGAGGAATCACTGTCTTCCTTTTTCACTTCTGCTGCTGCTGCTGGCAAGACACCTAAGAAAGACAAGAAGCGTGTCATTTCTGTGAGTGCTTATTTCACTCTGCTTTTCTCCACCTGCTTTCACTCCAGAGAGGCTTACAAAGGGAACCACTTAGTTCCTCTGAAATTACCTTTGCTGCGCTCCACTGCAGCAGGGCGTGCATCCAACCTGCTGCTGTTTGCAGCAGGAAGCCCCACACTGGCCTGCATTTTCTCTGGACCTTTAGGATCAGTCTAAGTAATTTAAAAGACACACATGAAAACTTTCCTGCTCAAAGTTTCCGCTTCTGCCAATAGGCCTAAGGAGAGGGATCAGGTGATGGAAAGGACAGAAAGGGCAAGCAGAGCCAGTGTGTTCGGTATCACTTCTGAGCACCATTTTCAAAACAGTAAAAATCCACCTGCTCAGTCTGGAGAGAACCTAGGCAGAAGAAATAAATCTCCAGACTGTAGATCATATGTGAACCAGCTGATACTGCATGCATCTAGAGAAGCAAGCTGTGTGATGAAAAAACAGCAATCCTTTCAGAGGACTGTAACCAAGAGTGAGCTTTACTCCTCTGCGCTATACTAGAAATCCTGCTTGAAGGCCAGCTGCAAGGAGGCCCGGGATATTAGCTCGACCCCATTTTCTCCCAGTCCCAAGTGAAAAACTTGTCTGAAGCAGGGCATGTCAAGGTCTGAGTGTGTGACAGAAGCAGCAAAGGAAAACAAACCCAGAATCCAGGGATTCATAGGAGCCCCACTGCCTCCCTCAGAGAACATACTTCAGGATTGCAGAGGGAGAGTTTTTCTTCCTTTTTCTCTGCTCCTTCTGCTTTGTAGTCTCCTAGCAAAAGACAAGAAGTGTGTCACTTCTGTGAGTGCTCACTTCATTTTGCTGCTCCTCACTGCTTCACTCCAGGGAGCCTTGCAAAGTTAACCATCTAGTCCCTCTGAAATTACCTCTGTAGGGCTGCACTGTAATAGATTGCACAGACACTTTACTTTTGCTTGCAGCTGGACCATTGTATTCCTTTTCTGCTGCTTCTTCTTTTGGCACATTACCTAAGAAATAAGATAAGAAGCATGTTGTTGACTTGAGTGTTTATTTTCCAGACCTTTGGCCCACCCCTCCAGACCAGCATCCCATTGATTGAGTATACTTCTGCTACAGTGATTTTCCTCATCACCTCTTTGACAGCAAAGTATCTTACGTGACTCTGCCAATACAGGTGTTTCCAAGGGAATGACAGGAGCTGTCTCATAGCAGGAGCTGCCAATTCGTTCATTAGCAATACTAAATATAGAAAGGAAGAAGGTGCATTAGGTAAAATCCCCCCCCACACACACATTTCCATGCACTGTCTGCAGGAAAAGCAAAAGCTATGCATGTTGCATCCTATCCTTGTTCACAGACAAGTGATAAAGGGTCACACACACAGAACACACTGCAGTCCCAGAGTAGTGGAGACTGAAATCCTCATTACAGATGTGCTGACAGTAGAGGTGCCTAGTCTTTTCTGTGGAGTAACCCTGCTACAGTCTGGCTAGAGTCTCATCTGATAAATCCTCTCTCCATTTAAAGGGTAAGGAATTTAACAAGCCTCCTGGCAGATTGACATCACCAGAGCCTCTACCTCAGCTAGATGTTATGCTAATGGTGGAGCTACTCTCCATGTCAAGATGGTTTAATGTCTCCTCAGTCTTGGTCCTCACTTTGAAGGGCTTCAGAAATTCCCATGGTTAGCCTGGGGGCCTGAGAGTTTAGAGAGCTCCCAAGTGGGTTATCAATAGGCCAACAAATACTGTGCTTGCATTCCAAGACCTGTGTTGTCTTCTAACAACACTGAGTTAGCTGGGGCTTGGGTTTGTTTAATAAGCAGAAAAACAAACAAAAAAAAACCCAATCAAACAAGAAAATAAATTGAACATGTTCTCCAGATCAAGGCTGCTTTGCAGAATGGTGCATTATCACATTTATACTATGCCAGAAGCCCAGAGGGAAAGGCATGAGCACCACATATTGTAAGAGCAATCTTCAAACATTTTTATGTATGCTTTATTCCTGAAGGAATTTTTACACCATATTTTATACAAGCTCCTTTCTCTCCTGCTTTCCATTGATACAGGTTGACAGAAGGGGCAGGGGAAGAAGAAATTAAGTCAAGATCCAGTGACAAGAATTCATGGGCAATTGTTTATAGCTAGACAAGGAATGCCCATAGGAATGTGATATGTTCACATATCACATATCCCTTGGCTACCATCACTGAGAATGAGGTTTTTTTTCCTCAGCCTAGTTAAGCACACAGGGGATATCAGTTAGATCCCCTCTGAAATAAAAGGGAAGTAGTTGCTGCCAATGCAGTGGAACTTGGAAGCACACAGCTGAATTCTCAGAGACAGCTGGAGGGGAAAGGGACAAAGTTTTCCTCAACTTCTAAATCTACTCTTGACATGGAAAGAGATACATCAGTAGACATCACTGAGCTCAGCTTCTACAAAGCTCCCAGCACCTCATTAAGCCCTACTGCTGTTATCAAAAAGAGATGCACATCAGCACAGACATTAGGGGAATGTGGTTGCTGTACCAATGATGTAAAACACTTACACATCATTTTGAACCATTTTGGTGAAAGCTTGACATAGGTAGAGTCCCATGTCTGACTCAGGAAGAACAGCACCATGGTGAAGAAGAAGTTGCATTGTTTTCTTATTCCCAGAAACAGTAGCAACTGTAAGAGGGCTCCTAGGGCATCCAAGAGATAAGAGTAAATGCATCAGCTTTTGCAAACACTGCCTAGCCAATACTTTAATTCCTCTTTGCTCCTCAAACCATTCATTTCCCCTCTCCTACAGGCAGAGTAAAGGCACAACCAAATGTCTGCAAGTGCTGGAGAATTCAGGTTGGTGGGACCTCAGGAGATCTCCTGGACAACCACCTTCCCAGAGCAGACTCAGGGCCTGTGTGCCTGTGAGTGCATGCACATGTTGGTGTGTGCTTTCTTGCAGTCCTCAGCATGGAAATCACCTCCTGAAGAAGGGGAGCAACCAAGCCTGGGTCTGCTTTCACAGGTCACACAGGAGATCCTTCTGGTCAATTCTTTTTTCAAAGTTCATTTTTATGCCTCACATCAATCCAACTTGAACAGCGCTAAGGAGTCCCACATGCACTTTTGGCAAACCCTTTACCTATAAATATTATCCTGAGCATTCACATCAGCTCCCTTTTGAAGAAGGAACTTGACCATTTCTTCACAGTTTTCAGTGACTGCAAGAGTAAGCGGAGTGTATCCAAACTGAAAGGAGAAATCATCTCTCTTAGAATAACAGAGAGAAGTAGAGCAAGTTGACTTGGGAAGAGCAGCTTTACCTAAAGTCCAAGCTTACTTTATTCTTAGCATTGATATCTGCACCGTGCTCAAGTAACAGCTCCACGAGAGATTTGCTAGAAACCATGACAGCAAAGTGAAGGGCGGTGTTACCATTTACATCTCTGTGGTCGTGGTTGGCACCATGTTCCAGCAGAATAGCTGCACAGTCCTTGTGCTGGTGCTCTACTGCCTGGAAACAAGACACAAAGGAGGAATAACTTCCAACATCTATGTTTCTCACTGTCAGAACTCCCGCACCTTCCCAACACTGGAAAGTATGAGCATCATCAAAAATTAGAGAACATATGCCCCTTCTGCATACCTTCATTAGTGGTGATTTATTCAATTTGTCACAAGGATTTAGCTTGCACTTCTTTTCTACCAGAAACTGAACAACATCTGCATGGCCATTTATGCAAGCAAGATGCAGAGGAGTCCTAGAAATGAAACATACGCTGTTCTCCTGGTTTTAGTCCAGCTGGCAATTAAGCACCATGCAGCCACTCGCTCACACCCTCTCCCTCCCCACCCCAGTGGAACAGGGAGGAGAATCAAAATGAAAACTTTAAATAACAATTAAATCATAACAGATTGATAAATAGAATAAAGGAAATAAAATAAATATTTTAATAATAATAGCAAATAAAAAATCCCAAGAAAAATCTGTGATGAACAATACAGCTGCCCACAGCCCACTCACTGATGCCAAATCCCATTCCAGAATGTTGACCTGGCTAAGCTCTCTCCAGCTTTTTGTGTACTTTCTCACTGGCCAAGCATGAGACACTGAAAATGTCCTTGACTTACGGTAAACACTGCTTAGCAATGGAGGCTGTGTAAGTCTACAGAGGGTGCAGAACCAGTGTGAGCCCCCGAGTCCCCCCTGCTTCCCCCCACATCAGTCTTGCACCAGACACAGATGGGATGGGACTTCTGACAGCACTGGAAAGGCTGAGCTGGCTTTCTGTGAATCCATGTCCTGCTAAACCAAGCTACTCAGTCTGGTACCCGGAAAGGAGATGTCTCTGCTTGAATGAAGGCCTGATGAGCTCCACAGAATCATCAAATCTTAATACGGGTTGGGTTGGGTTGGGTTGGAAGGGACCTTAAAGACCATCTAGTTCCAGTCCCTGCCATGGCTAGGGACATCTTCCACTAGACCAGGTTGCTCAGAGCCCCATCCAGGCTGAACACTTGGATAAACAGGGATGGGACAAGACAAAGATCAAGTACAGGGGCCGGGCTCCCGAGCGGGGCAGGGCAGGCCAGGCCAGAGCAGAGTGAGGTTTTCACTGTCTCCTACTCCAGCTCAGGCAAGGCTGGTGCTCTGGGGCTGGCCCTGCTGCCAGGCACAATGCTGGGCTTTGCTGGCTCTTCAGTGTGGGTGTGTTCTCTGCAAAATTTGGTTTGTTACCTTGCGTTCAGCAAGCCAAGAATTGCACACTTGAGGGAGACACTGATTATGTGTTTCAGAGTTACACATGCCTGGGTGCTCAATGGTATTTCATAAATAAAACACACCCCACCAGACTTTCCATGGTTTTATTTATACATAGAAGTTCAGAATTAATAACTTTCCAAGTATAGCTCCTCTACTATGCTTGGTTAATATTCTCCATACAAGTTATGGAACCACAGCTAACTTCTATGCATGCTTAGGGGAGGGGTCTTCACCTTGGCAGGGATCTTTTTAACCTGTAGATGTGATTTTTAGCATTATAATGAAGACAATACAGCTACAGCATAGATGGACCTTGAGTCTTTTGCCAAACTGGTAATGTGTATATACAGAAATACATCAACATCTTGATTTACTACAGCCTTTACACATGTTCCTTCACTAAGGGATGCTTCTGCTGTCTGTTCTACTGGCACAATAATATCTTGATTTACTACATCCTTAATGCTTGTTAGTTCCAGGATGTCCTTGGCTAAGAGATGCTAGCTGCTGCCTGTTCCACTGATTGTCTCTTTTCTTGATGCTTACGCTTGAAAGTAGGCAAAATACATACATTTAAAAAAACCCGCCCTCAGATAATTTTGACAAATTCCACATTTTGAACAGGCGGAGGGGCTGCTGTTTGTGCTTACTGCTTGTCCGGGTTGTAGCTGTTGATGCGGTGCTTGTTCAGCCACCAGTGCTGCCGCAGCCGGGCCAGGTCCGCGCTGGCGGCCGCGCCGTGCAGGTCCACCAGCACCATGGCTCGGGCCGGGCCCAGCACGCACAGGAGGGGCCCGGCACACACAGGAGGGGCCCGGCACGCACAGGAGGGGCCCGGCCGCCTCTTCCCAGCCCCGGGCGGGGACGGGGAGCGGCTGTGGGGACAGGAGCCGCAGGGACCCGAGCCGCAGCTACGACAGGTCCGGGCGGTGCCGTGGAACGCGGGCCGGCGTCACAGGCGGCGGGCCCGGGACACCGCGGCCTGGGCACGGAGACAGCGCGGCCTGGGGTGAGGGGTGATCACAGCGCTCCGGTCAGCCCCACACATCCTCCTCTGGGGAAACTCTGAAGAAGTGTGTGCTGTAACAATGAAGAATGTTAGCCCAGATGAAAATAAATAAATCAATAAATGAGTAACAGAAGTGACGTACGGCTGGTTCCCAGGACACTGTTTTCCCCTCGGCAGTGTTCTGGAGGTAATCTGTTCAAGTTTCCCGTAAACCAAGGGCAGGCTTTTGGACAGGAGGCAGACTGGAAGTCTCCTATGGTTTACCATATCCTAATCCCAGCGATCAATAGTTAACTGCATTTCTATCCTCTTCAATCCATTGATCATTTTATGTTAAAACATTAGCTAATTAATGACTGCCTTTGAACACCAGAGTTAGAGTCATTAAGTTCATTTTAAATAAATCAATAACAGAGACAAAATTCCTGTTGGCTTGGGCAGCCTTTAAAAGAGGTAATTTAGAAAATGAGTTTTCAATGGCTCCATTCTAGCAGTTGGCAAGAACTCAAAAAATAAGCTGAGCCTCAACTTAGGCCACAAACACTTCTATAGAAACACTAAGGTCAGATTTTCAAGGGAATTCAGCACCTCAAACTCCCAGCCTTTTTAAAAGTCTGCCTACTCTCTTGGCACTAAAATACCTCAGTTCCAAGGCAAAAGCCCTGAGCCCTCTTGTCACGAGCAGGAGGGCAGCTGTTCACTACATGTTCACAGACAAAGAGAAAACGAAGAAAAAGTCATTTTATGCAATGATTTTACATTTCTTCTTCTATCTATTAGGAAAAACAGTGGATGGCAGGTGGAAAAAAACTGCAAGGACAGAAAATAAAATTTTAGGGAAATGCTAATATTCAATATATACACTGATCTATTTTCTTTTTTTTTTCACCTAAAAGGTCATTGTAAAGATTATAATAATGCAAACAAAAGATTAAAGTCTTGATTGCTTTAATACCTAACTGCTAAATCCTGTTAATAGGGAAAATATGCTTTTTCTAATCCTTTTCATGCCTGATTTTCAAATTATATGGTAAAAATTCATCACAGCCAAATGCAAGGGCCCCCACTGATGGACAGGAATGAGTTAGGCCACTGGTAGTTTATAAAATAATTCCCTAGCAACTTACCATCAAGGAACAGTTTACATTCACAAATAATCAGGAGCCAGATTTTGACTACCCAGATAAAAGTCAGAGCCCTTAACTGTGAAGTATTCTTTTGAGCCTCAAAAGAAGGCATGGACTTTGGATGCTAACTTCTCAAAAGCTTGAAGAAGAGACAAGACCACAGAGTCTTTTCCTTGCGTGGGTTAATCCTTCACCAGTTACACCAGCAGAAGTTGTTCTTGTGGATGTGATATCAGCAAGCAATATAGAGAAATGCACCCCACTGCAGTGGCTGTTATTCTGTGTCCCCTAGAGCCAGAGTCAGACGGTCACTCAAATGTAGTCTTGTTTCACTGAATGCCAAAAACAGTGTTGCAGTAATTATTCAGATTGGAGGCAATTCCATTCATTCAGTCTTGCATTTCATTCATGCAGCCTAGTCTAGAGCACATCTTTTCAAATGCTGTGTTTGGTGCTATCCCAGCACACTGTCCACCCAGCATTCTGAATTAAGCAGGCTAATTAAAATAACAGGTACTCTTAATGCCTCCTCATGATTTCTGTGGGTCACATGGCGGTTTTCTGCTGCAAGTAATTGGTTTGTTGCAGAGAGATAGACACCTGAAGTGGCACAGGCCATTCCACCTGATTGGTAGCACACTGGTCATTAGCATGACTTGAAAGCATTTCAGTGTACAAATAACAGGATACTGCTGTCAAACCGCCAGCATAGTCGCTGGGTATTGTGTAAGAACATAGGATCTTTCATATTTAGCATGTGGCAAAAAAAAAAAATCTCACAAACCTACTGTATGTAAGGTTCCTTGATTCTAACAGTGCATCCCATCACCAATGTTTGCCAGCATTCACTGGTGTTGCTCAAAGAAAGCAACAGGGTTTGCTCCCAGTCATCACCTGAGTCTCTTAGTGATTGTTAGATTTCATCCTGCTTGATGAACAGATTAGCTCTGTGCATTGCAATTACTCTACACTTTTAATCAGAGAATTTATGTATTATTCTCAGAGCATCAGAAGTAATCAATTCCATGCTTTTTGCCCTTTTATCCCTCACCTTTATCCATCGTCACCTCATTCCAGAAACACATTTCCTTCTGAAATTTTCACCCTGAGCTCTACTGGGACCATCCAGTACCAAGCTCATAAAGACAGCACAGTATCAGCCTTGATATTTGTTTTCATTATAGACAAAACTAAGATGACTGTTTACTATTTTTCATCACTTGCAGACCAATAAAGTACAAGTTCTTGTGTATTAGCTCCTAGGTGTTTTTATCTGCCTTCTTTATTTACATTTCTTCCCAGGTTTTTGAATTATCTGATCATAATAACCGTGCAGGCTGGGATCCCTCTATTCCAGGCCTCCCTGAGATGCACAAGCATTGGGAAATGCTTGCTTTCAGGACATGGCCGGTTGCATACTCCTCTGTGCAACTCCTTAGCTGCTAACTACTTCTTGTCTCTTCCAACAACTTCTGTTTAAGGAGGAACTTCCATCATGTGCTTATCTCCATGGTTTGTAGCTTAAAGAACATTACCTCCCTAACATTGCTGGTGGGATAAATACTGCAATTGCCTTTTAACCAAGAAACAGTACCAAGAAGAAAAGCTCACAGAAGCTGGCAGGGAGGGAGATTACAAACCTCCTCAGGGCCAGGTCACAGTCTCACAGCACTTTCCGTCCACCAGTGTACAAGAAAGACATTTTGGAGAGGAAGTGTCACTACCACAAGACATTTTCCTGATCTGGGTCCCTTTCTTCCTATAGACAACCCTGTGAAAACCATCTTTAAGAAAACACTCCAATAAAGTTAGGACACAAGTTATTTAGGTAAAACTGGCAGTACTGAGCTGTTGCAGGACACTGGAGGCATGGCTGTCTGGCTGCAGACATCCAGGTGGGGAAGTGGTGGGAGAACAGGGACAGCTGTGCATGGGTGGGGCTGTGCCTGCTGCCCCCTGTGTGTGTGTGGCCAGCCCCAGACTCCACGCTGCCAGGACCAGTCTGGCTCTGCTGGTAGCGCAGGAGCAAGATTCTAGTGCTGGAATTAGCATAAGTTTGCCTGACAGAGGACCACAGACATAATAAATAATAAAACTCAGCATAATTTTACTGTTGAACTTGACATTTTTTTTCCCAAACTAAACTGTTCTATGAGAATTATTCTATGATGAAGTTATATTTATGAGGGCTTATCACATAAACCCTGCTCAATACTCACAGGCCTTTTGTGAGCTGTGCTCCCTTTCATCTGCATTTTGTCTTTCCTCTTCTTTGGGTGGGTGGTTGAGATGAAGTGACTCACCACTGGACGCCTTGGAATATCTTCAGCAGACAGAAAGAAAGCTAATTTAATTTAAAATGACAGGAACAGTAGGTCTACCTGTCCAATCTGATTTATTAGTGTTCCCCTGCCAACTAATTTGGATAAGATTCCAACCACATGAGCACCTTCATGTGCTTGGTCTCCTACAGACATTTAAGAAGATTGTCCTTTCTATGGATTTTGTCATATGTGACAAACATAGTGAATTCCTTTTACTCCTTTTTTTCCAGTTGATCCTTAAGAGATGGAGCACACAATTAATTAGGGAGATCTAAAGAAGAGCAAAGATAAAGACTGGTTTAAGTCAACTTTCTCTGAAAAATTTTTTTCTTCCCTGGAATTAAGTCTGATAGAAAGGTTTCTTATAAAGAAAATTCACAGCAGACCCAAAGTGGGATACTAAAAGGGTGGGCAGGATGTGCCTTCAAACATCCCTAATTCAACAATTGAATGCTGCACAATGGAAATGGACTGCAGAAAATGGAAAAGTTATTACCATGCAGACCTGTAAAACAGTACTGCCATTGTCATTAAGAAAGCAAAAGCTTTGTACTGACCTCGTTAAGCCTCAGAGGAAGGGTTTTCCCTAGACAAGCTTTCCTTGACCTCTACAACCTGCACAAGGTAGACAAGCTGGAGCCAGCCAAACCTGGCTTTAGGGGTAACTGAGAGAACAAAGAGGGAGTACTTCTAACACATGTAAAATGCATCATATATCGTATATTCAGATATAACGTGGAGCTGCAGAGCAGTCAAAAAGAGTAAGGTGTGAAAATATGTTAGTAAATATATAAATGTGGCCCCATGTGTGTCTTGAAATGAGGGAGGGGAAAACACCACCATGAACATCCTGTGCTTCCAGATGTTGGCAGTGGGCCGAAGCTCCCCCTTCACTCCCAGCCACCAAAACAAAACCATCAACCTTAGGATTCAGAGGAGCCAGGAAAGAGTGAGGCAGAAGGGGTCTAGAAACTAAACAGGGTGAGAATAATAATTGTAATTGTTTAGCTATCATTATTATATTATTATTGAAGCATTTTTCTTTCTTATGTAATTATTAGGTCTGAACTATTATTTGTTCTTGGATTAGACTGTTAATATTTCAACCACACCAGAAATACATTCTTCTTTTATATACATTTCTTCTAAAATTTCCTCTGTCCTATACACTCCCTGTCCCTTCTTTATCCTTTGCTCCTCTAATTGCACCATCCAGAGTGGTGGCTGCACTGAAAATGAACCAATGTGAAATACAGTTTTTTTCCAATGATTTGGTCTGGGAGGGTTGATCAACTTTGCAAACACCATCAGAGTGAAGGGAAGATTACTACCTGCTTTATAAATGCTGGAGCTCTACACAGTTTTACTATCTGAGTGTCATTATAATTTCAAAACTATCTCATTCCAGCAGAATGTAAAATGCAATAATAACTACCTGTGAAATTTCTATGGCTATGTCCTGACAGCAGTACAGCAGCAGCAGTTCTTCCCTACTCTTATTTATTCCTTTTTATAATGTATGCATTTTCCTGATTATTTTAACTATAAAACTAGCCACGTTCCAGGAAACAAGAATTTTAAAGCCAATTATATCTGGAGCAGGACAGTGATTGAAATAAAAATTGTATTTTCAATGTAGACTTTTTCTAAAATTACCATTCTTTGAGTTTTCACACCTCAATGCTTAGGGCAGATGGAGAGCAAATACCACATATACAGAAACCTAGAATTAATTCTTAAATATTTTTCCCTTATCTAAAGCATATTTCTGCAGCATATCATACAAGCTAATTCTAGCCCAAAATGCAGATATTCAGTACTATTTTTCTTGATGTATGTGCCTAGAAAGGAAAGCTGAAGGATGTAGGAAGTCTAACAAGATAAAATAATTTATGAGATGATTTGCA